AGCTCTCATTTCATGCTTCACCAAGCTGAATGTGATATTAGTGTAAAATTTTAGCGCAAGCTGCTTCATCATCAGTAGATATTCGTCCAATGAAGCATGAAGCTGTAAAACTCTATGTGAAGTGAATGACAACACGACTGCCGTGTAAATTAAGATAAACTCTCATGTCGGGAGGGCGGGGGAAGTGGAGAATAAATACGGGTACAGTGGAGCTATAAAACTTGTGTATTTCATCTGTTATTAGCAAATTTGTGTTGGAGATCAGAGAGGTCAAAATTGTCCTTGGGCCACAAAGACAAATGAGTCCCAATAGAGCTTTGAAAAACTCACAGATATTAATGGAGTGCTATGAAACCTGCCTATAATCATCGAAAGGTTCATCTGAATTTACTCCTTAAAAGGCAAGTGGTCCCTATATTCAGTTATTCATTTACAGTAATAGCATTTGGGACCACCATTGCCTGAAATCCAACTTAATCGCCACTATAAATTGGTTGAGCTGTATCCTGAATCAATATTTGTGCAATTTTGGATCCGTTCAGGGATAAGGTCTTGCATTTGTAAGAACTACCGATCGAGGTCCCAACTAAATTCTTGACTGCTTTGTTTCAATCGCCACTCGCAACTAACCCCTCTTCCCCCACGCCATAAAGATGTTTGGAAATAAATCTTGGGTTGTACCCATTCCCTTTGTGATAAATAATTTTAAAATGGTTAAAACGATAAATGCATTCAATTCATGTACAATTAATGTGGGTATTGTATACTAATAAAATTGTCTAGAAAGGTTTGTATAGTATTCAGATGAGAATCAGACCAGGAAAGCTTTATAAACAGTGAGCTGATTAATAAGATGCATTGTGATTTTTTTATAGTCATGTCATTAGTGTATTAGTTTTGCAACCTTTCTGGGGTACAAAGGGTTCATTACTTTAATAAAACTTAATTACAGATCTGCTCCTGGGATTAGATCCACATGTGATATACATTTTAAGCATTTTCTGGAGATACTCTCCCTGATCAAATACACTTCTCATTTGACAAATATATTTCAAAACCATTACCAGTTTTATATCTGTTAAATTCGTCAAATCACCACGTGATTTATTGTACTTCAGTTTGAGAGCACCATACACCATTTAGAAAATGTATTACAAAAGATTAGAAATGTTAACAATAAGAATTCACTATTACAAAGGTTTATCTATATGTGAGTGTTTTAAGTATAATATCTGTTGTATCTCTCATGGATATAGTTTATTATTGTTTATTATTAATAATAAATTAATCCTTATATTTGATTTAGTACCTTCCCATGTTATCAACTTGTTATTCAAATTGCTTCACGGGATTTAATGTAAAGTGTAGTGACTGTATTTGCATTATCCAATTGAACAGTTAGATGACATCTCAATTTAATTTCTCTTCCAAAGGACGGCACATCTGACAATGGGTTGGGGGTGTCAGCCATGTATAAGGTCAAAATTTTGCTGTGAGATTTTGTCCTGTCCTGCAAAGATCATGGAGAAAATCTTGCTCTAATCCTGAAGGTGCTGACACCAGCTGCTATGTGTTCTATGGAAATATGGTGTCTGTTCTTCCTGGGTGATATTAGCAGCGAGTTTAGGAAACTAAATAACTCTGAGGGGTTCTCAGCTGAATTTGATTTTGACCTCATCTGATGTGCACAAATGTGAACGTTCCAGCAGGATTCACTGGATAGTAATCCAAATGGTAATTGTGTCAGATTTTATTCCCCATCCCAATCCTGAAAATCCTCAAAGCAACTGTAGTGTCCCTACTGCAATCCAATTGAGACTGCCTAATTCAGCATAGACAGATTTTATTTAAATGAAATCCCAGAGGGGAGGATTTACTCGGTGTGTGTGTTTACCACTCCTGAATCCTATAAATTATCTTGCCTATTCTTCCTTGTCCAACTTGCTTTGCCCTAATTCTATCCATAGCAGAGTAAAGGTGAGGCATTTGAAATGCTAAATGTTTTAATGTTCTTATCACAGGTGAAAGAAATTCAGGAAAGACAAACAGGAATATGTTTTAGGGTGCTGTGAGGGAGGGGAAAGGAAGAGAAATGAAGCAAAAATGAAACAGAAAGATTTGTATCTGCACTTGGACTGAGCTCCTGTGTAATATTTGGTGATTTGATTATGGATGTGTTCATGCAATAAACTTGAATAAAATGGTAAAGGAAATAAGGAAATTTGAGAGACCGTGAATCTCTTCGATCCTTTGAGACTTAAGTGGAATATTTTAATCCGACTGATTTATTTTTTGGAAATGTTTTATTCTCGCATATTTATATTCCAATGTCACGTTCAGTATTAGAAATTTACATAAAATTACATTTCCAAAGGTTATTTTGGTAACATTTCTATTTTGCTTTAGCTGCTGTGGGAATTTAACAGTCCGGGTTTTTAATTGCTTTTGCATACACAGAGAGCTTAGTTCTGTTCTCCCCTTTTGCCTTCATAAAAGCAACATCCACTTGCTTTATTTTAAAATTTCTGTTTTAAACAGTGCCGTTTTTGATTTACAATTCTGTTTCTTATGTCCAGGCTTGTTAAAGGGTTGATAGCTCTTAAGAAGTCCTGATTTAAAGCTTATTATTTGTCTCCGATTTTTGGGTTCCATCCTATTGTAGTTTCAATAGAAGAAATATTATTGAATACCAAGTCTTTTTTTCAGTGAGGGTGGTCCAAAAGTATTGTCTAATTAAATTCTGTAGATTAAGTAACACATGCCTGATGTTTTGTTTATCGGACAAATTCTTTTGCGATGTTAATCTTCAGCACATACAAGTGCTGAATCTGATCCCACTTAACCTTATATTAATAGGCTTACAACCATGTAAGCCTGAGCAGACACATTGGCGTTAAGGTTGGCTATCTGGATGGGTGTGTGTGTGAAAAGATGTATACTTTTTTCAAAAAGAGAAAAATCGCACAGTTGAGAGACTTGTGCTCCTAATGTGAATATAATGTGGAACTCATGTTGTATTTGTATTTGTAGAATCTGGTGTGATTTATTTGTTTATGCAATGATTCTTTCAATATTTATATTTGAAGAAGTTTAACTTTGAAATTTCAGATTTTTGCTTTATTTCTGCTTTGCTTTGTTGCTGTTATAAGATGGCATGAGAGTTTTTTTTTACACAGCCTTTGTGCTGATGGTTTCCACACCATCAGTAGTGACTGGTGTTTGAAGATGTGACTCCATATACATAGTGTCTTTCCATTTATTCTCATTTTAGACATAGATTGGGAGAGAGGGAATAGATATGATGTAAACACTTAGCTGCCCTAAGATTTGTATGCGTTATTTCAGTTGTGTCACAGACTCAATCCAGGACACTGAAGCCAATTGTAAGATTTGTGTCGCTAGACTGATTGAGATCAACCAACTTTAGTACAGGACTGAGACCAAACCGTATCCAGCTTATTTACACTAAATGCCACCATGGCCATATAAACAAGTTGGACTCTGGTGCTATTTTTCCATCGGCTTGACACTTCATTTGTTGCCAAATTCCAGGCCATTAACTGTAAGTGTAAGTACATCTTGTACAATCAAAATGCTTGGCTTTTGAGGCTTATGTTTTAATGAAAGCGGAGTGTACATGGAATTGAATTGTTCCTTAAGGAAGTCCATATTTGTTTGCAAACCATGAATGTTATTCCCTCGGAATATACAGGAGTCTGATTTAACACAGAATGAGAGGGACCCTGAGTATCACATATGATTAAAAATAAGAGATAATAATAATAATCCTTGCATTGATATAGCGCCTTATCACGTCTTTGAGATGTCTCAAAGCGCTTCACAGAATATACTGTAAAGTGAATTGACTGTATATTTTGTGGGCGAAACTATGATAATAATCCCTCCAAAACCAATAATAAATTGGTCATTTTCAATCTACGACTGTTTGTGGGACATTGCTGTGCGCAATTGGCTGCCCACAAAGATACAGTCAATTCACTTTACAGTGTGTTCTGTGAAGCGCTTTGGGACGTCCTCCCGACGTGAAAAGCGCTATATCAAATGCAAGGATTATTATTGTTGTTATGATGATGATATTAAAGGCAGATTAACAAATACTTAGCTATGTTGCAGAAGTTTTTATAAAATCCAAAATTTCACTAACTTTACAACAAATTACTGTCATGGGATAGCACCAAAGAAATTATTCAGCAAGATAATGCTGAGATTTTGTTTCTCCAAACCTCCTGACATTGACACTTGATTAAGTCTTTCCTTCATTGTGACATTTAGATGTACTTTTTACGTCAGGTGCTGCAATCAAGATAGCTTGTTTACATTTCATCAAAGTATTTTACCATGAGATATTTGGATTATGCAAGCAATGAATTATAACTTGCCTTTAGGTGGTTCCATTGTCAATCAGATAACAAACCCAGATAGAACACTTAATGTTTGCTGGAGACATAGACGTTAACAAGTGTTGGGATCGCAGCTAATGATGCATTTGCATTATTTAAAGCTTCCGAATTCTCCTGAACTGAATTCACTTAACATCCTGGGTAACTCATTGGGTTTGGACTTTGGTTTGGATGATTCTGGGTTTAAATTTTGGTGGTTCCCCTTAGTCCTTTTAAAATTGAGACATCAGGAGGAGGTGGGAAATAAACTGAGCAGCAGATTGCACCATGGTAAAAGCAGATAGATCTGCTACAATCCAAAGTACTGCTGATATTGAGGTTGACCAGTCAGTTTGACTTGTCATGTTTACTTGTGCCAAATTCATGTGGAGGACAGTGCACCGAGTGATTTTACACCCTTTGAAACACCATTTTTAATGCTCCACACTGCATTAATGTCCAAAATAAAAGTAGCAATATCAACCTCTTCAATTATCACCATTCTTTCTGTCCTGGTCAGAGGAGGGGAGGAGGTGCAGGGGTTTTATATTTTGCTGTGGTTCAACTTTATTTGAATAGTGTTTCCTTTTTTTGTTACAGGCCAAACATTTGGAAAAGAAGGAAGCGGAACTTGAGCGACTTGATGCCTTTTATAAAGAGCAGTTGGCAGTTATTGAAAAAAAGGTCAGAATAAAAATATTAATTTGTGGAGACTGAGGTTCTGTACTCTATGGTTTTAACACCTTTTTTTTTCCTTGTTGGCTATAATTAGTTGTCTCTTAAAGGAAAGCTAGGGCAGATGGTATACAATTGTGAGCATGCCATGTAGTGAGATTAACATTGATTCCTTGTCCAAGCACCATGTAGAATGCTGTAGAACAGGAAATCAATAGGATTCCCTGTAATGCTGTCCTCTTGAGTCGTTTACCCTTCAATAGCATTGTAATAATCTGCTGTGGTCAATTCATGATCCAATGCTGGTGTAGGCAATCTAAGAGAAGAAAACTAGAATCGAATCGAAAACTAGAACTGAAATAAAATTAGTAATACCATTCTGATTGCAAACTTTTTTTCATGTTTCTTTACAGGTAGTCAGTTCCATTATGGGCAAATTTATACCAATTATGCATTTGAAAGTGTTCCATTTTTTTCCTCATTTTCTCTCACTTCATTCGATAGTACATTTCCACGCGATCAGCAGCTCTTCAATGCAGGTATTCTTCCTTCATGAGGCTGGACAGACTTATGTTGAAGCCATTGGAAAAGATGTAGGGAAAATATAGCTCTTTTGGCATAAGCCATTTTGGCAGCTTCGCAACCTCAGAGGGCAGTACAACTAAACTCAATTCCTATTGCCACGAACAATGTGGGAACTTGCACTTTCTAGAAGAAGGCTCAATGTCAACCCGTCAGAAGTAGGGAAACAGGCCTTAACCAATTCCCTGTTAAGATCAGCTAACACTGCACAGTTTGCTTCAGGATGTCACCAGAAAGATGCTTGCATTGTGGGTTAGTAGGAATTATCATTTCATAAATGTCTGCAGACCAACATATTAACAGAGCACAATAGCAAGGAAATATTATAACAGCAAAGAACAATCTTCAATGAGGAGCTCACTCGTTCCCCAAATTCTTTAACATTTTGGGATAAAGGCCACAGTAATCTGTTCCATAGCACATACCGTGTGACCACACTTATGGCATGTCGCAATACCGATCAGTGTTTTTGTGCCTAGCATGAACGTTGTTGCTTTTTTAACTTAAAGAAGCAGCTTTGGTACTTGTTTCAACCCATTAGAGTTCTAGGAATTAATTTGATGAAAATGCCAGTAAAGTTGAAGAAAAATCTATATAAATATTCCTAGTTTGGCATTTTATTGTGCAGGTCTGAAAATTAATGAGAATTTCAAATATCATCTAAAACCTCAGATCTGCCTTAAGGTATTGACTGTTAAAATGGGCTGTTGATTTGCTACTACTGCAGGGGTTATGCTTAATTGCATAGTATTGGGAGAGTAGAATTGTACGCTTTTAACCAAGTAAATTAAACACACCAATGGTGGACCGACTGAACCAATTGCTGCTGCGTGTGTTTGCTTATTGCACTGCGGGTTATTGCCTTGTGTGGGAGTTTTTGGTACTCTGCCTGGATTGAGAGAGAATTCTAATGATGGGAATTACGTTTGGTATAAGGCATTCAGTAATAAATTGGATGCCAACCTTGGTGCATCTAAGTGCAGATCACTGTGAGCGAATAAAGTTTGGAATGAGTTTGTTCTCTGTGGTCTCTCTGTGGGAAACTGACAATTAGTGATGTCCATTAGGGACAATAGCTGAAATTGAGGTTTTATTTGGTATTAGTATCAACCCGGTCGGGCAGCTACTGTGCAAAGTTGCTCATAATTGGGCAGTAAATTGGCACACTCATACTGGGTCTAGGAATTGCTGGAATGGGGGAGGGCATGGTTCAAATACTCTTTTGCTGTTTGATTATATTGCATTTTGAGGGTAGAATCTTGCGTGCTTTTAACCAGTACTATATTTGCTTTGGCAAGCCTTTATGCTGACTGGTTGCAAGAAACAGAAAAATGATCCAGAAAGTTGACCTCTCTCACTCTGAACACAATCCATTTAATAAAATTAAAAAGATCTGATTTACCTGAGAATATGTTTATTTGACAATGAACTGGACAACTTGTTTAAGCAACCCATTAATTGCCCTGTTTTAAGGGGTTAACTGTTCATTATCTCCGGACATGTCCTAACAAGAAGTGAAACATTAGAGATGTACTTAAACTGAGTGTACCTCTGAATGTCCTTAAACATAACATTCCAAGACATTTTGATAGCATCAAAAGCTGTATTAGGATCATTTATTTGAACTTGCATGGGGGTGAGGGATAGGTATTTCTAAAAATATCCTTTCAATTTTCTTCCATGATTTTTTTTATGTGGGAGGCACAGTATAAATATAAATTGTGTTGCTATAAAACTATTTATTGAGGCTTAGTGTCAGGAGCAAACTGAGGATTCAGCGGAAAAAATAGGGGAGAGTTTGAAAGAAATTTCTTCCTTCAAATTTTCGGGTTTGAACTTCCCATTACCACAGGTGGCTATTGAGGCCTGATCAATAGAATCATTAAAAAGAATTGGATAACAACCTGAGCAGTCAAAATATTAGGGATATATGGAGAGAGCTGAGATTGATGGGGGATGGAGCGGGAAAAACTAGATGTAGGGGCACAGACATGATTGGCCTAATGGACTCCTATGCTTAACATTTCTATTTCTAGGGACATGATTACATAAAATGCTTTCCCAGGAATATGCTTTATGGTGCTGCAAAAATATTGTTAATACATTTGAATTCAGGAGATGCGTTTTGCCCACAAATATACAATCAATTCACTTTACAGCATATTCCGTGAAGCGCTTTGAGACATCTAGAAGACGTGAAAAGCGATATATCAAATGCAAGGATTATTATTAGTAGTATTATTATCTTTGTTATAAAAGGAAGAAATGTTGACATTTATTGAGGTTGGGTCTTAAGATTTTGTTCAAAAACAAGCAGCAAGGCAAAGCAGTTTTGAAAAAGAGGACAGGATAAACTGACTGAATATTACGGTTAGTTTATGGTAGTTTATATAAGTATTGTTAGGAAACGAAGAGACCTTGAAAATCCATCAAGATCTGATGATTGTACTGTGCTTAGAAGCTGGTTGAAAATTCTTGGGTTTAATGTGTTTCGCTTTCACTAATTTGCTGCTGAACCTATGTTGAGACCTTGACATTTTGAGCACATAAAACAGGCTTTGCAGTATTAAATTTAATCTTCACCATAATAGCATGAAATTCCCAGAAAGGGGCCCAACAGGTCACTCTTCCATACGGTGCCTTTAAGCTTTTGTGGACGGTTGCGAAATACTTTAATCTTTTACAACAATAATAAAGACCTAAATGTATTTCAAGATTACAATAGAGCTCTCAAACCTCTCCACTTTAAGTGTGAACACAAACTAACTGGCAAAATGGTGGCAAGCTATTATTTTGTAGTTCTTTTCAGCGACAGGAAGGTGTTATTCACCCACCAGTGATTCAGCATCGCAATTTTCTTCTTGGAAATATAATGACACAGTGGTGATCCGATGTTTTGATTCTGTGATGAGGAAATATTTATTTTATATTGTTGAGAATTAATGGATTTTCTTAAAATTCCATTAATTTTGAATTCCTTTCCAGCAGAATTTATTTTACACAATGGAGAATGGACTTGTGAAACAATTTACTAGTTAAGGTTGTTAAAGACCATATAAAATGGATTCAAGAGGCAACTGGGCATAATTCTGGAATCAGAAGGAATTGGAAATGTGCTGCAAAGGTAGGTAGCTGGAAATGAGAACTATCTTAAATTGTTGAGTCAGTTTCTTTCTTTCACCACACCCTGTCCTCTGGAACTCTGGACTGAAACCCCTTTGCCTTACTACTAGTTTTTTTAAAAAAAACTAAGAACCTGCCTCTATTTCTGTTGTACTTTTTCATTTTTAAAAAAAAGTAGCTTTACTCAAAGCAGACTTTCCTCTGGTTAATCTTCTGCTGTACACTAGTACACACTCCCAGGTCTCCAAGCCTTAGTTCTTAGTTTAACCTGTGCTTAGTTCTGATATTTAGGTAGCTTTTTACATTTCCACGCATAAGCAAAACATCATCATGGTGAAGACAGAGGAGGAATTGGGCAGCAGAACTAGTTAAGCCACGGAAGCCTTCAACATAGTCAAGGCTAAAGATGGCATAGCTGCCACGGGCCAACAAGCGTGTAATTGCAACATGAACCTGTAGTTAAATGTGTATCGCTGAGATGTACTCTGAACACAAAGGATATTTGTGAGAGAACACGTTTGTTATATTTTGCTTCAAATTCAAATTGACATTGGTCAGGCCATAACACTGACAATCCTAGTCTCCAAAGAACTTTGTTTTCTACTCGGTTGGAGAAATCTTTTAAATCCCAGCCAGCAATCTAGTGGAGACGTGATGTTTCAAGTCTTGAACTGCTTGCCTTAATATAACAGGAATTGGCATTCTTTTTAGACCTACATGCTGATCGAAAGCCATCAGCATTCTGTGTTGGATAGTCCTGAGTATGGAGTAAGAGTGTTTTTGAAAGTAGAACACTTTGCAGCTGAATAATCATAAGGGGAAGAGTGTTTTGCATTTAAAGCGCTCGTCCTTACATTCCCCTGTTTATTTTGCACCGGCAAACTCACCCAGTTTAAAGTCACACCATAATTCCTACTACAATACAATTTGTAACAGCTTTGGAAAATGCAAGCCCAACTAAATCAGAACGTGGAAGATGAGTTTTTCATTCTGTTACTGAATCGAGAAATTTAATAACTCTTCAGGAAACTCAATTAATGTCATTTCAATTTTGTCCAAAAAGAGGCTAATCCTAATAAGGCATGACAGCGATCATCATATCTGAATTAGATTAAATTGCATTGGAATATGAAAGCCTTACTTTCATGTTTTTTAGCCTAAATTAATAATTATTGTTGATAAAGGCCTGATGCCCTTATTGTTTACTGAAAGTCAAGTGTTAATAATCAAATTTGATTAAAAAAAACTTTCCTCTTCTTGCATATCTGGTTGCTCGTTGCAATAGGTTGCCTGTTTCACCCTAT